AAAAGATGGTGCAGCACTATTTACGATTCAACTTCACTGTCTAACTTGCTACTAGCAGCAATCTAGATCACGCAGCTGGGTTATGAACCGCGATCGTAGTTTGTCCGAACGTCACATGCCGCTCCGACGCATGAATTCTGGTGTCCTGTTGGCCATCACGGGATCCCACTCTCTTCTCTGGGGTGGGACTGCCCCCGGGCCGCTAAAAGCCTCGGCCTCCCAACAGTCTCCTAGGTGTGGCAAGTTTCTTCGGCTGCGAAAACGGCTGCGCAGCGCATCTCCTGCTTCTGGTGTTGGATCTGTGGTGAAGTGCTTTTTCAGAAATAAGAGAATGGACCCGACGCGGGGGTCACTATCCCGAATCAGTGACAATTTCAAGTGATTAGAGTGGATTTGGGTTGTCTGGCACGGATGCAAGTTGCCTGTGGTGGATTAGCCATGACGAGCAACACCCCGTACGAAATGACGATGGATCTGGTATGAGTGATGTACGGCAAGGCAAGATCCACCAAGACTTATCTCGGATCCACCCTTACCTGGATTCACTTAGGTGGATATGGGATATACTATGTACCAGTGGATCGAGTGTGGATCCTATGAAGGAATGGTGGTAGGTGCCATCTGAAGGTGGATCTAGTAGCCACGGCTAACAAGAAGTTAGGATCCACCGCGAGGTACCCCGGATCTCATATTCCCGAGTTCGGATCCAAGGAGGGAGGATCCCGCATAGAGGGACCTAGATCCAGGGTATAGGGATGATGGATGCAGTGGATCTCGAACTTTCGTGGGACAATGGAGATCATAGACGGTTGCGAGATGATGTTGGATAATTGGAGAGCTCCGATCCACGACGAGTGTACACTTACAGTGAAGTGGATCCAAGCGACCTGGATCCGGATGAGTGTACCCATAATAGTGTGACCATAATGATTACGCCATGGATTCGGTGGATCTGAAGATAATACAGCTGGGATGATGGGTCAAGGAAAGAAGGGACATGCAGCCGAGCCTGGTAAGGGATTTAACGAGTGAAAGACATAGAAGGTAGAAATCCAGGCAGGTATAGGCTTAAGTATCAATACAGAACCCAGTTTGCACAGTAACACGCAAGTGCCTTCCTGCCCTCAAGAACCGGAACTACATTGGCCGTACGAGCTCGGAGAAGGTTGGAGATTGCGAATCTAGTGTTGGTAGCGATAACTGGATAGTACATTGCCCAGATCCTACAACCTAGTAAGCTTTTCCTTTACTTGTGCAGATCCGACAGGTCTACCGAATTTACTACTTGGTCGGTTACACCCTAGAGGTTCTCAACTCTCAAGATCCCGTCACAGGAGGCGGCAAGTACGACGCAAAGGAACTACAAAGGCAAGGGAACACACCCGCAAGGCAACCCTACGGCCAGATCCACGATCTAGGCCCCGGATCCATAAGCTCGAATATTCGCTTAGGATTCGGAACCATCCACGGACGCAGAGTGAAGATTTTCCACTGCTGCTCCACCCCATCCCCACGTCTCGCCAAGACGCTCAAGCTTCACCACTTAAAATCTTCGGAAGTTACCGAGAGAGCAAGATCCCGCCCTACCGACGGGTACACAAGGTGAGGAAAGTTCAGCAGAACACGGATCATCGGGGGACCCCCTCCGTTAGTCGGTGTCTGGGCGCAGTTGGTAAGTTGGTTCCAGCAATCTCGCAGATTTTGCTGATCCCGCTACACCACACCTGTCTTCGTTAAACGACTTGTCCTTCCCACAGTCGTTACGGGCGACGCAATCCTTCTTGGGCAGTTTGTATTACTACAGTCGGTTCATCGAGAACTACGCACTGTTTGCTGCGGTACTATATGAATTGAGAGAGGTAGATTTTGCTGCGATGACCACTCCAGCTGTCCGGATCAAAATCCAACAAGCTCTGGTCCTGGAGATGTCGGATCCACGAAGGGATCCAAGTAGTACGACGCCAGAAGAGGACCTAAAACAGGAGCTGGATCCGCCCCGGGATCAAATGAAAGAGGATCCAATCAGGATAGAGACGACGGATCAGAGCTCGGAAAAGGCGGAACCTCGGTGTATCCGAGCTCAACACGCATTCGTGGAGCTGAGGAACAGGATCGCGACCACACCTATCCTCCGTCATTTCGATCCGGAACGTCAACCTACGGTGATAGTTTATGCCAGTGACTGGGCAGTCTCAGCAGCGGTGGTACAAGAACATGAAGGGATCTGTCATCCAGTCACCTTCGTCAGCCGGACACTGAAGCCGAATGAACTGAACTACGGAGCGGTGGAGAAAGAGATACTCGCGCTCCTGCGCGTGTTGGATCTATATTACAACCTGCTGGTGGGAAGATCCACCGGATCCTGACCCGACACTCTACGCTAGCTTGGCTGTTCAAGTCGGCCGGGTTACAAGGACGTTTGGGACAGTGGGCAGCTTTACTCTCGCCTTGGACACTGGAGATTGTGAAATGCTCGAAAGGGGAAGACGAGATCGTGGGAGTCTTGGCCGCGAGCATCACACCTCGAGCTAAGATGGATGAGGCGCTGACTAGGATCGCTCCTAAAAAAGAGCCCAAACGCCGGATCCAGATCCCGATCCCGACGGTACAGGCAGACGAGGATCTGTACGTCCTGAGTGTCGATGGATCCGCTCGCGTACGACGCGGAGGCGGGGCGTACAGTGCGATAGTGTGGAGACTACCTGGATGGGAAGTTGTACGGGCCTGATCCACTTATGCGGAAGGCCTCACCGTCAACAAAGCGGAGTATAACGGGCTACTGCTGGGTTTGGATCTACTAAAGGGACAAGATCCGAAAAGGCTGGTGATTTGTGGGGATTCAAATTCGGTGATCAGACAGGTGCGAGGTGAGATTGACTGCAAGGCCCCGGCCCTAACATTGTTACGGCAGAAAGTAATGATCCACCTGCGGGGTTGGATGAATCACGAGTTGGTGCATGTCAAGCGAGATTGGAATGCCAGTGCAGATAGCTTGGCCAGCGCCGCTTTACGGAATCAATGTGGTGTTGAAGTGGAGAGAGAGGCCGAGCATCAGGTTCTCGTTACGTTGAACCGACTAGACGAAGTGGTGGTAGTGGGATCCGGGAAAAGGACAGTCCACGTGATGGCCGTCACTAGGTCCAGAGGAAGGATTGGATCCAACCCCCAAATTCTCGAGGAAACATTTGTGAAGAGAGTCCGCATCGAGCGGATCCTCAAAGCACAGAACGAGGAAGCGTGGATCCTAGGACTAAAGAAGTATCTGATGGGGGATGTACGAGACCTGAGTCGGGAAGATGCCAAATCCTACAGCATTATCGCTACGGATTACGCGGTGGATCTGAAAGACTTGCTCTTCTATTCCCCCCTACGAAGAGAGTCAACGAGGATCGGGATGGATTGATGAGATTTGTGATGCCGGAAACCTTACAACAGGATGTCCTACACCACTATCACGCTAGCTTGGAAGGCGGACATCAGGGTATTGGTCGGACCTACCAACGGATCCGGGAATGTTGTCACTGGAGGGGACTATTCAAGAGCGTACAACGGTATGTCGGGGAATGTGTGGATTGTGAGACAGGCAAGGGCAGGCCCACAATCGAAGAAGAGTCACCTGGGAATGTCCAAGCGACTTACCCTTTCCAAATCATAGCCATGGATCATATCCCCTCGTTGCTCAAGTCGTTCAAGGAAACACAGAATTGTTGATTTGGGTGGACCAGTTTACCGGATACGTGGTAGCCAAAGCTAGTGCGTCTAGAGCTGCGCAGACCATTGCTGAATCGTACGAGGAGTGCGTTTTCCGAAGATTTGGAGCTAGCGAGATGATTAGACATGATCGGGAGCCAGGCTTTATGTCTGATTTCTTTCGAGCATTCAACCGGATCCTGGGGCAGCGACAGCGAGCAACCATGGCATATCGTCCCCAAGCTAATGGGTCGGCCGAGCGCATGGTACAGACGATCGCGAGAGCACTCAAGATGTATGTCCAGGATTTGGATCAGAGGGATTGGGATGAGTACGCAGAACGACTCCCCTTCGCGATGAACACCGCCCAAGACAGGATCCGGGGTGATACCCCATTTTACTTGGTACATGGGTGGGATCCCAAATCCACCCTGGAAGCGGCCATCCCAGTATGCAGCACCAAGAAGAGAAACCGAGATCCAAGGCGATGGCGATACCAAGTCCAGAAATACTACCGGGCAAGCTAGATCCCAGGTGAACGAACGACTGCGGAGTGCGATACGGGATCGAGCGGAATCGACAGAACGAAGACGCCCGTCCCACATCAAATCCAAGTGGGATCGCATGTGTGGCTTTATTTGGATCGAGTGAAAGAAGGGTACGCCCGCAAACTGGCCCATCTATGGCATGGACCGTTCCGGGTGAGCGAGAAGATTGGAGAACACGCGGTAAGGCTAGAAACGGCAGGTACCGAATATCGCCTGTTCCCTGTAGTACACGTATCCAAGCTGAAGTGGGTCAAAGAATATCCGGATCGGCCGCAGATCCGTCTTTCGGTGGATGGATCCGATCGCGTCGACTTCGACGAAGTCCTCCTACCGGAAGACAGTTGGAATGTGGATATCGAAGCCGACGAGTTCGAAGTCGAGAAGATCACCGATATGAGGTCAGGGAAGCGAACTAGATACGGACGGATTTACCGTGAATTTCTGGTGTATTGGCGTGGATATGACGAACCCAGTTGGGTAGACGAGGCAGATCTGAACTGTGGAGCATTACTCTATGATTTCTTGAGGGATCGTACGAATCGTAACAGATTCGGCGTGATGCAGTCTCATGAAGAAGAGTAGGGAGGGGACCCATGGATGTGAGTTGGTCATGTCGATGGGAGGATGAAGAAGGGCCCACAGGAAGGGTGTGGGCCAGGAGGAGGAGGATCGCTGATGTGAGTTGGTCACATCGGAAAGAAAGAGAAGTCGAATCCACAGGGGAAGGGTGGATTAGGAGGAAGGAGTGAATGTTTATGCATAAGAGTGATGTTTTACGTGCGAGGAGTCCTGTTTGATCTCAAGCACGAGCTTTCAAGGGCCCCAACTATACTGACCCAATTGATCCTGGGTCATTGGCGCTAGATCCGGATGAAATCCAGGCGCAGATCCAACCGGATCCGGGATCCCGCCCAGATCCAGGTGTACGCTGAAAGGGTGGATCCCGCCCAAATCCAGGTGTACAATGAGAGGGTGGATACCCGCCCAGATCCAGGTGTACACTGAAAGGCTCTGACTGGAT